GTTTTCATTCCCAGCTGAATAAATTCACTTAATTAATGCTCGAATATTGAAAAATGTCCAGATTTACAATTGAATGACGAGAAAGGGATCCATTAAACGGAAAATGTAATCCACGCGTTTGTATTTATAGACAGCCACTTCCCTGGCGGCGTGTCTTCAACAAAAGAGTGCCGTAAAAGTTTGTGTTGAGCCAGGACTTTTCGAACCTTTACCGCTCATAACAGAGGTGCTGTTACCATCTTCAGATTCTGTTCTCAATCCACTTTTACAGTTTTTTCCCTATTTTGCATGCAGTTGTTTTCACTTACATTAATTCCTCTGACTTACGACTGAAACTATCACTGGAAGGTATCCATGTGAAAGCCGTGCGGGAGAAAACTGCCCGTGCTAAAGCAATTGATAGAAACTTTAATCGAATGATATTATATGTGATCGAAGTTATGAAACTGCTTGAACATGATAGAAATAAACTGATGATGAGGAGAAAGGCAATGCTCAATCAATAATAGTTACCAGAACCAACAGTTTTTGACGAATGAAGTGATCTCAGTCCCGGAACAACCACCGTATTCTTAATATCTCAAAATCTCCCAGAATTTTCAAGTGCATACTTCAGCTAATATGGTTTTCGAATACAGAATCCACTACCGAACTTCCTGCAAGTGAGCGAATTGATCGCCTGTGGCATTGAAGTTGACTCGGCTTATAAACCGATACTGAAGATGGAGCAATTAGGCAAAACTGTAGCAGGGGTTAGGTTTTCTTACGATTCAAATGATATTCTTCTTATCAATTTCCGTGAACTCCTTTCACTATTAACTACTGGCAAATATATAAACAGTGAAGAAAATGACTGGGACCGAATCAGGTGCTAACAGAATCCATAAAGTTATCATTCGGTCAGTTGCAATTCCTCAGCGAAATGTTCGTTTCAGGAACGAACGTTAAGTGATGCGTATGTGAGGATTGGTGAAGTGGGCGATGAGATTGCAAAAATTTGCAGTTCACAAGGGAAAAGTGCCGTTATCGTGTGTGATGCGATTGGCATTGACGCGCTGTTTAGGTGGGGATTTCGATGAAATTTATCTTGCTTCCGTGAAGATCTGCACAGATAGGAGGATCTGTCAGACGTTCCAATGAAGTGATTTCGCATCGTGAAGCAATCACTTACATGATTGCTTCAGTCAAACACCACACTTTCGCAACGAAATCTTTCCCGCATTGAACTGACCTGATGCTAGATAAACTTTTGCATTTTATAGTGATTCTTCAGAACAATTCAGCGAATTTTCAGGCGAATCACTCGACGAAGTGATATTCCCGAGAATTTGGAGTCGACAGCATACATGCAAAGATGTTATCCACAATGCTCTACGATCACACTGGAGTGGAATGCAAAAACGCGCTGTTGGCAATGCAAATCGAACGCAATTCCACCAATGACAATGTTCCATACGACTAACATTGTGAAAATTCCCTCATTTGGTCGGAACACCAAATTCTCCGATATACCATCGGAACAAGAACCACTTTATTGATTTTCATCATGTCTGATGTATTTGTTCGAAAGTGCTTCCGTGTTTCATCTGTTGTAATGATTTCATTTCAAGTATTCGATATTATTAGCACTCGAATATCAGTTTTCATAAGTTTATCGAAAAAGGCTCTAACCATTATGCGAACGTGAAATCTCGAAAAATTGAACATTTTACGAATGCTAGGAAGAGGAGCACGATTTTTATTGTTCTTTATAAATTGTTTTTTTTCACAAAATCTACATTTGGAATGGCACACACAGAATCGTATTTGGTCTCTTGTTTAGATCATATGTTGTGTTTAAATGTACTCGAAGATATCTTCTTCCAGTGAGTCTCAATCGTTAATGTGTTCTCTTTTTAGGTGAGCGAGTGTCATCACCTGTGCTTTGTTTTCATTGCAAAATTGAGCTCGAAATAATTCTGTTATTTCTAATTTGAAACATGCTCCATCGAAAATGCAATTGTATGAAATAATAGGGAGGCTCTCAGAGGAATTTCACCTCCAGTATCATGATAACATTCGTTTTTAGAACGCTCATTCGTTAAACGTCGTGTGTATTTTTTGTGAAAAGAAATCTGCTTTTCAGCATTTCATCATATTTATTATACTTTAGGAGAGATAAACATTTGATTTATGATTTGAAATCATTTGAAAAGAGAATGAATTATTTGTTTTGTGACACATTCCATCAGTTGAATGAATGAAGCGCAGTTGTTAGGCTGCTTGAAGGCAGCAATATTTAAAGACGGAATGAAAATGAAACGATGCAAACTACGGGGAGTTCGAAGATGGTTCGCCTTGACCGAATGAAACTTTCATGCGTACTTCTGTGCTAGTGTGGTAGCGTTTGATAAAATGAATGATGTGAGAGAATAATCAGAGCAGCTGAACGGCTCAGTCTTACTTTCGAACGTTTCTTTCTCTTATTTTCAAAAAACAACAATCTATTCAGTCCTTATTGCGAATTCCCGCATGCAGCAACATTACGACTCAATTTGAAGGCCGATTTTTAAACTCAAGCAATTATACGAATATTATCAGGTGACCACTATGACATCAGCTACGGAAACCACTGTAATAAATAAGCGCATGTAGATGGAGAATTACTCCAGGACGGGTTCTGAAACATGCCAACCAACTATTGCTTTCTGCGGTCCGAACGATCCAAATTTGCTGACGGTCTTTGAATCAAGCGATACGCAAACAACGCAACAAACATTTTCTGACAAGAAGAAACAGAAGTTACAGACCGTACTGTAACGCTATCGAGTGTATAAATTCATATTTCACTATTAGCATTATATAACGGACTGCTGGTGAAGGATAGTCGAAAGAAGCGGAATAATTTTGATACGGAAACATCATCAGGTTCCACCAGCCACTGGTACTGGTATCGATGGAATGCAAGTGAACTGATTGTTCAGAGAGCCAGGATGATAACCTCTGCAACAAGATGCTCGTGGATAGGTGCAAACAAGGAAATTGCACGGCACCTTTTGGAAAGTCGACCTGAAAGGTCGCATTCTTTAGTGTTTAACCATATACTTTCAAAAAAACTAAAGTGCGATTCTTGATAGAAAGAGAACTGTTATCACAGATAACATTCATTAACATTCTCTTATGAGTATGAATGCTTCAAAAACAACACTCCCGTACAGCCACGTCTCAGCTAACTAAAAGGCATCAGCTGGAGTCAATACTTTCTTCTGGTTCGATAAAAATTCTGCGGAAAAATCAAAGCCAAGTCAAGGCGAATTTGTGGAGAATGAAGCGGTCGCTAACCCAGCGCAACGACAAGTTGGAAGTGTCTGGTTGCATGATCGGAAACGTTGTTTCGAGCCGCATGCACCACAGGTATCCGTACACTGGGACCATTGACCCCAGGCATTCCATGCTGTTCCGTGACAGAGT